GTGTAAAGATCTTTCGAGTGTTTTGAGTTTGAGAGAATGAAAGTTATGAGAGAGATTAGAAAGCTATGAAAACTAATCAACGAGAGAGATCATCATCAAAGGATCGTAGATCTGGCTTCCCGCGGGAGACTATAAAGTGTGATAGAGTAGGTTGTGGTAGTAATCCTACGTCTCTCCACGATCCTAAAACGGAACGCGTGGAAGGTTTGTCTAGCCTGGATCTAGTAGCGTGGAAGTACTCCACGCTGGCTAAATATCTAGAGCGATGTTTCATCATCAACCTAGTATGACTAGCGCGGTCATTGAGAACCCTGTCTCGAATGACTATTCACGAGAGACTCAGTCATGAGTCGAACTCAAACCCTATCTAGGATCGAGTCGCGAATAAGGCTAAGAGCCGTGTATTGCACAGGGTTGGTTGGCACATTGGCAGGGAGTTCATCAGCACTCAATGCCCTATCATAGCGGACCCATACCTTCCGCATGTCAGGGTTGATGATCCACCTTCCTGAGTAGTGTGTTTCCTGCCTGTGGGGCAATGCCTCTGGAAAGATGAGGTCTGGCTGTCTGTAAAACTGGTTGTTGTCTCCAGACCTGTGGTACCGTTTGGGGTATTGGAAGATGGCTGTACTGCTAACAGGTTGAACAGGTTGAGCTGGTGCATGGTTGGATGACACCGGTGGTATAGGGGTGTAAGGCAGGGAGAATGTTGAAGGTAGACTGCTGCCATGTGTTAGTGTTGGTTGGGTTGAAGTAGTCTTTGTAGTCTTATCCTCCTTCTTGAGGGCCCTCAAATGGTCAATGACTTCATCTCCACAAGGTGGGAACATCACTTATCAATCCTGAATCCAAACCAACTGGTTCTGAACTGCCTTGGGACTGTGCTATAGAACCAGTGGTCCCTTCCACACCTTGTCTCATGGGCAGTGAGTGTGGTTGACTTGTGTAGAGGTGTTGAACAAATACTGCCACGAAAAATCCAGATGGTGACCTGAGGTCTTGCACTGTTGGTCAATGACTAAACAAGGGATGCTTAACACACTGGTAACCTTGGAATCCTTCGAAACACTTCGAAAGGTGGTCTCGTGGTGCTCCGAGTTACTCCTGTAGCGCACTCGGAACAGAGTACGGAGCCAAGGAGTTCACGGAATCGACCGAAATGTGAGGTTGGTTGATCACGCGAAGTATCGACTTGCTTTCGGAACAAACGTCACTTGGAAGAGGTGCGTTCTATACCGGTTCTGTGAGTGCCGTGTGAGTACCGGTTCCCTTTTCACCAGTACCGTCCGCAGGCACGGCTGAGATATTCCATACGATTTTCGAAAAGTCGACAATGGGGATCTGCCGCTGCTTGTATTCGATCGGTAGCCGTAACCAAGCCGATTAACAAAGAACTGGCTGGACTATCCTCTCAAACACCCTCAGGTTGATAGGTGGGACGCTTGGTTTCACTCCTACCGCTTCAATATTGGTCAAGTTAGGTCGATCGGCAGATTCCTGTCGCAATTTCCTGTCGCAATTTCCTCTTCCACTCGACGACCGATTGTACCAGTGCCAAGCCTATTAACCGAGGCACTGGCTGGTCTATTCTGTAGAGCAACCTCCACTTGATAGGTGACTGTCTTGGTTCCACTCGAATTGGTCGCGATTCCAGTTTTCGGTCGTCAGTCTGTCGACAGGTCTCGATCAGCCGATTCAGCAACTCGCTCGCTCTTCTTCACTCGATTTCCACACTCCTGCGAGCCACTCCTTGTGCCTGCAATCTGCGACAATGTTAATCCAATGAGATCCAGTCAGGGTAGATGCACAAAGAGCTGGGAGTGGAGAGCTCTGCTTGGAGGTCTCACTCCTCTGGCACTGGGAATGGGCCAGCCACAAAGCTGGCTGCCACTGTTATTCAATCTCCACAGCAATGATTGAACAACTTACTCTTTGCCTTGGCACAATCCACACAGGAAGGCTTCAACTGTGAGGAAACTAGTGCTACTGAGGCTGTATCTGGTCAACTATCCTTTCATTACTTCTTCTTCTTTAAACTATGCTAAAATCAACTGAACACAAAATCCTCGACAGCACTCAGCCGTGCGGCTTTGGCTCTCTTGCATCTCATTTGGCTGGTCCTGACAAGCTAACTTTCTATATTGGTCTTAGCTGAAGAACTGCATCATCCTTGGGGATATAGAGTTCCTCAGCTATTCCTGTATTGCCAGATGGCTGCACTGCTGACCCTACTGTTGGAGTATACAGATGTCACAGCGATTCTTCCACCTGGCTAAACCAGCACAGCTGCTTCGCACCACTATGGGAATTCACGTGGATTTCCACTCATGGGGGCGGTCACCTCAGATGGCCCTGCGGCGTTCCTCTGCAACTACGCCTGCCGACACCAGCGAGAGCACCGCTACGGCGCCCTCTCGTCCTACATCCCGGGTCCTGCCAACGTGGTGGCTGATGATGCGTCGCGTCTGCAACACCTCACCCTGCCTGAACTTCTCGCCCACTTTGAACAGGTGTTGATCTCCGCCTTGCGCTGCAGACCGCTTCCAAAAACATTGTCTCCAAGACGGCCGCCGCCCGCGACCGGACCTTCGGACGATGGTGTGACTTCTGCGCAGGCCTCGGCGTCAACCCATCCCTCTGTGATATCCCTGACCAAGAGATCCAAGCCTGCTACCTCCTCGTCTTCGGAAACCGTTACCGCCAGTCTAACAATGTCTGAGCTGACCCAGTGGACCAGGCCCTTCTTGCCGTCGGGAACGGGATCACCGACCTGGGTCACCCGGATCCCAGAAAGCTCAAAGCAGGATCCGACCACAACCATCCAATACTCGCTGCTTTCCTCAAAGGACTCAGGGATGAAGATGGACCCCCTGACTGAGCCTACCCCATCAACCTCTCCATCCTCCGAGCTATGCTCGATGCCCTGGACTATGACGACGCCACCTGGGGAACCCTCAACCGCCACGTCCGTGACCTCTGCATCCTGGCCTTCTTCTGGCTTCTACGCCCTGCGGAGTACCTGGATACCGGGAACCCTGAATCCTGAAGCCAAGCCATTCGCTTCTGTGATGTCTCCTTCACTGTCCGCGGCGGCCTCCAAGTCCGCGGAGACACCATCTCTTTGAATGACGTGAAAAACCACGCGTGCCTCACCGATGCCACGTTTACGTTCACTGACCAAAAGAATGCTGTCCGCGGCGAGTCCGTGGGCCACCGCCCGACCTCTGATCCGTGGCTTTGCCCGGTGAAGTCCCTCGCACGTGTGGTCTACCACCTCCGTACCAACGGCGCCGACGCCGATACTCCCCTCTTCAACCACTTCAATGTGGCCCGCAACCGGTGGTATCCTGTGAAGCCCCAGTTCATCACCAACGCCCTCCGCCACGCTGCGGCCCTCATCTCCCACGACACCAGCATAAACCCTGACAAGGTCTCTGCCCGCTCCCTCCGTCCTGGTGGTGCCACAGCCCTTCTCTGCGCACATGTTGACTCAGATGCCATCCGCCTTCTCGGCCGCTGGAAGTCCGACGCCATGCTCCGCTACCTGCGCATCCAAGCCGCTGCCGCCACCCACCGCTACTCCCAACAGATGTTGGACCATGGGGCGTAAAACTTCCCGGGAGGCACCTACGATCGCCAACTCCTCCCGGCGCAAGCGCCCCAACACTTCAACGAGATTCTTCTCCACGAAGAACTCTACTAGGACTAACCTACCCTAGTCCTCGGCCCCCTGTCCTCGCCTACACCTGGACAGGGGGTAACTTCTCCCACCCGCTAGGCTCCCTCCCTGTTCTGCCTTTGGCTTTTGGGTTGCACGACTCAAGGCTGTCCCGTGGAACATCACATTCCCGGGACTCCTTTCGCCGTGTGGGATCCATCCGGGACTCCCCAGTCCCGGATGGTACCCCAGGGACTGGAGACGGTCGGCTCAGTAAATGGCCGAGTCTCTCCACTCACTTAATCCTCTACTTGTCGTGCCTAGCTGCTCTGGGCGAGCGCAGCTTGTCTGCGCCTGGTGTCGAGCAGCAGCACGCCTGGGGAACCCCCCGTCCGAGTTTCCACGCCCCGCAGCGTGGAAACTTGAACCCTGATGGGTTCTCGCATCCATGACCCTAATCATGGTTGCCGAGAGGACCATCTCACAATTTGCAAAATTAATTCCCACGCTCCTCACCTACAACTCAAGTACATCTCTACATCTCGCAGGTCATCACCTGCGTTCCGGAAATGGATACCCCATATGATGATGCACCGCATCAGCTCCTCAATGCCTCTCGAACAATATTACCCTTAAGGCAACGACGCCCGTCCAAGACCACATTTGGCAAGATCAAAAGCGGCAACCATGAATCACTAAAGCCAGCGACCTAGCCAAGATCAGCCATTGAACTGCCGATCGCAAGAAGGTTGTCTCTCTCTCAGCTCACAATTCTTCATTCAGCCGACACTGAAAGCAAGAACCTAGATTAGATTAACCCACCTCTCCCTCCCTGGTTGCACGACTCAAGGCTGTCCCGTGGAACATCACATTCCCGGGACTCCCTTCCGCCGTGTGGGATCCATCCGGGACTCCCCAGTCCCGGATGGTACCCCGGGGACTGGACACATCGGTTCGTACCCCCACAGTTGGGCATTAGCGGCCCGGCTCGCAAAGTGCCCTCTGCAATATTATTGCAGAACCCAACTCATATCTTTCCGAAACAAAAAATCGACGACAATGGCCAAAAGAGCCGTCAATGAAAGCCATTCCAGCCCTTGTAAGGATTCTAGAGCCACCAATGAACCCTTGTGTGTCCCTCGGAAGCTTTGTTCTAGGGAAGGATAATGAAAAGAACAGTATTCAGACCAACAAGATGCTGAACATGGAACGATGGAAGACTCATTCCGAGGTTCGAGCAGTCTGATCTAACACTAGCAAATGACAGTACGCATAGATTTCATGATAAACGAATGCATTTGTTGGCATAAGATCCGATTGCTATAACGCAGTTTGTTAAAATCTAAACATATTCTGCCGTGGCCTGGCAACTGCTCCCAAGACTTTCATCTGATTGAAAAGGTTGCGTCCAAGAGGCCGGCACCTTGCTGAAAACAACGTATTCGAAGTGGTCTTTCCAATCCGTCTTGATAATGTATCCATTTATTGAGCGAGTAAAATCTTCTGGGAGAGTGAGTTGGGGATCTAGCTGGGATGCGGAAGCTGTGTTATCGGCCGTCTTGAGTGCTTTTGTTCTCTTCTTGTACGGTGCTCTCTTCTTGCCCATGAACCTTTGTTCTATTGCTCGATGAATTACTTCGATTTCTGGTCGACAATGAAGCATTATCCTTCGGAAGGTGCAGTTAGCTCTAGCTTCAGTACTCGTCATGCAAACTAAAGGTTGTCGGACCGATTCAATGCACTTGTGAGCGGATTCAAATCCCTCTTCCGAGCAACGTCCAAGCATCAGATTTGTGGATGCAAATGTTGTCAAGTGCGAGCGGAGGATGTGTAACTTATTGAAAACATTTATTTCATTTCCATTGGAGCTGGAGACGTCCTGTGTTTCCATCGTGAACTCCATCCAAAGCGTTGCATATTGTCGAGTAATGGCATCAAAACGAGCAACATCCTCTTCGATCCACTTTTTCTGGGATTTCATTATTGTCGATATCTGATAAAGCAGTTCCGTGAGGCCACGATAGGATTCCATCGCCTTGTCAACCTTAGACTGAAGCTGTAAGTTGTTGGGAAACACCTTCTTCATTCTCTCTGCAATGAGCTCTTGCCGGTCTGGTGCAAGAACTCTGATCCCGTCTCCGTTTGACAGCTCGAAACCACTGTTCTCCACTCGAAAAGACACTCTTCCATCCACTTCGTAAGCTTTCCTCAAGCAGTAAGTTGCAGGACCGATGATACGACTCTTCGTTTTCTTAGCAGCACCAGCTTGGAAGTCATTGCCCTTTTCAATGAATAACTTGGCAGCTTCACTTGCTTTTGCCAATGCGTGAAGGTCACTTGCAATACAAAGGCGCTCTGCTTTGATGGATTCGATCTCGCCTGTTAACGAGTAGCCTTGTGCTGTTTTGATATCGCGGTAAAGCTTTGTGTCTTCCTTTCGGAGCTGCTCGATCCGTACTTTTGAATTGACAACAAAATCTTTCGCTTCTTGTTGCAGAGTTGATAGCTTGGACAGCCAAGGAAGCTCTCGATCGATTTTGCCACAAGCTTCTAGCATCTTGATGGTACAATGCGTGAAGAGACCACTAGAAACGTGCATGCCGGATCCAGAGTTGAGCTCTGGAGGAGTGTAGAGCAATGGTTGGTATATAACACTGTGGTATTTCATTTTCAGCCCCTTGGCTTGCCCAGTTGAAGATGCTCTCACCAAATCAACTCTTCCACCAGCTTCAGCAATGAAAGCTTCGTACAACGATGGATTCGCATTGACTCCTTTTCGAAGTGCTGGTTGTTGATCCAAAGGAAGAGTAAGATACTTCCCAAATTCTTTCTTCTTACAGACACAAATCGTACACGGAGCCATGACACCTGCTGTGCCCTGCCCCATAACAGATGTATTGCATTTTAAATCATCAGAAGTGAAACATCGAATGTGAAGGCATTTAACATGCAAGACGCTTGTAGACTTTCTTCGTAGCGGCTCTCGGAACCTTCCGTGAAAGATGTCTCGACCAAACGAATTTGTGAGAGCAAAGCCTCCGTATTCAATTCCATCATCTTCATTGCTCTCCTTGCCGACGAGCTGGATGAATTGCTGATTCAGACTATCATCAAGTTGAATTGCTTCCGCTTCATTGTAGACTGAAACGAGAGTTGGCATCTCAGTCTGCTGAGTCTCTACTTTTTCAAGGGAAGCCGAATACGAAGCGCTTCCCCTCTGGATCTGTCACTACAAGAACAACAACACCACAAATAGCAACAAACACACCCAATCGGTCATACCTATACCATTACACTACCTATTAGCACCATCAGAAGCATTGAAATGAAGCGAAAGGACCTCAGGAAGCTTGTTATCTGTTATTTCGTTGAAGAGTACTGTTTTACTATAGGATTCAACTCAACGTCATCACGGAAAACATACACCCTTTTCCTCTCTTTATCTCTCTTTCAAGCCCTCCGGTTGACAGGATCGACACCTCCCATCCCTCTATCAACGCACCTCCTCTATCAACGCGACTATCAAAGCGGCCTTCTCCGGTTCAGACTAGAAAGCCATCCCAACTGAAACCCTACGAGATCGGCGGGTTTCTATTCTCGACCGCGACGGCCAAGGGAAGCAATGAACACAAGAAGAAGTCTCCGGTCTTCTGCAGTACCAGACGACAGAGAAACACATATCATTTGTTACTTGCTGTTCTCTCATGCCGACGGCCCAAGAAAATCCCATTGTCACCCTTTTCGTACGATCGAACGAGATTCATCTTCCAACAACAATAGGATCGGTTAACCTTACCCCTATAGGCAACTGATTCATCCGAATCGCGAATCCGAATCGCGAATCGAATCGAATCATCGATCGATTCGAATCTAAGATCCTACTCCGTGAATCGATCAATCTTCCCGCGAACGTAATCCTCTTCCTCTGACACGTACCTCTTCCTCCGTACGCAGCCACTATCATCAAGCAGGACTACACGAGATACCTAGCAGAACGCACGCGAGAACAGAAACACAATGTATTTCTACTTTCTCAACCGGCCACTAGTGGTTTCTCCCGACGGTCCTTGTTGGAACTGATCCTAAGATTGACTCACAAGAAAGAAGTGCTCCGCCTTCCACAGCACAGTACAGAGAAACAACTCCCATAGCGTTATCATTGTTGCTTTCTGTACTAAGCTCCTGACTGCCGAAGAAATCTCATTGCCGCTCCTCCTTTTTCCGAACGATCCACCAGTCCTATCCCTATACAGACTGGATTGACTGATCAACACCTGCTTACAGTTACCACCCCATTGATATCTAACTCCTCTCCAAGAGCGAACAACAAACACACAAGTTCCTGTTAAGACTGAGTTCTTTGTATCTTCCAGGCTTGGCTGCATTTGCTAGTTTAACACGCCCCTCCCTGGGTTACCCAGCTCCTCTCCAAAAGGCTCTCACCCCACAAAGAAACCAACTAAAAATTGTGCCCCTCTAGCGTGTTTGTGCTAGATTTGGCAACACTTCATTGACACCAGCCACCTCAAGAACTCCAAAGGATTGAGCCCCAGCAGAACTGCAGCGTGGTGGGCATAGATATTAATACATAACTGACTCTATCTCTCTCTCATTGTTTGTTGAGTGATCTCCAGTGACTTTCCAACAGTTCCACCTGAATCGAGATACCCTCTCCACATCTTGGTTGACTCTCTAGTTCTGTCACTTGACAACATGATTGAGTACCAGCCCTTTATGACAACACAGTGTCATCCAGTAACACAGACCCAATCAACCAACAACACCCCTTATACCCCCACCACTGCCTCTACTGGCTATAGCGTGACTTCTCCATGTTTCCCTGAAAGAATCCTAACAGCCTTTGGCTCTGATACCATCTTCTCCTGCAGGTTATTGGTATACCTGCACAAGATTTGGCCACAGCTTTGATCCACGGCAACAACAACCCAACAACTTGATATACACCTTGATTACCAGTGCCTCAGTCAATTGCCCTTAGAATACACCCTTCTACATCAATCATCTCGCCCACCTCACAAGCCAACCTCCCATCTGCTTGGTTAAAGCAACGAACATACAGTCAATCCTCCAGCTATACACAACTCCCCCCACCGAACCCACCTACCACCGCACCAATGACTTCCCCATGTCTACCCACACCCACTCAAACCAAAGGTCCTCCCAGACCATCCCCCCACTTCCACACTTCACCCACCCAACCACATCCACCATCCTCCGCATACTACACAACACCACTCCCCAGATGATCAGCCAACAAAGCTCCTTGAGCATGCAGCCATCTTGAGGATCACACCCTTCCGAATCACACCCTACCCCATCAGGGAGGATGCCTTTGTTCTCACCCTTGAACAGAGGCACGCCTCTATCCTACAACACACCCTCAACCATGCCTACATCCCCACTCCTACAACAACACTCCAACCCCAACAGGATCCCCCCTCCTGCCCCTGGCACCAGCCCACCCCCCGTGCCCCCTTATCCTCCTACTATTGACTCAACAACCCATCGAACAGCCCACAACACTCCAGCAGCCACTGTGCCTCTCTCCTGGGAACCCCCCAACACACTGCCAGTGTGTCATTTGACCCCACTTCTGCCTGCTTGTTGGCCTCTATCTAACAATTTTGTGCATTGGATGGGTTCACCCTGCTCTGGTCCAGCCTGAGAGTACCACCTCCTACGGGCTCTGCTGGCATCTTGCCTTGCATGCCAAGGCCTTGCCACAGCTTGGGACCTGATCACCCAGACACACTTACCTGGCGAGCACTCTTTGGTCTGGCAATCTAACTGGTCCTCACGGTCCCTATGGTGATAATGGTTTCAATACCGACAAAAATCCTGTGTAAGCCCCTGTAACCCAGGTTTTGCGCTGCAGGTTCCCTATCAATGTACTCACCCCCCTTACCAGGGCATCTGTCTACTTGGTGCTGGCTCCACGTTGGGCCAGTGGATGAGGTCATGTTGATTGGGCAAATAAGTAGATGACGACTCAGCTAGGTGGGGGCTTCCCCACCCATTGCCCGCGTCACAAAAGCCACTCCGTGGCCATAGTTTGTTAAACTAACGAGTATTTTACACCCCAGTCTGCTGAGTCTCTAAACGGAGACTGTTGCTGTCTGGTAGTCGATTGATCTTCAGAGCTGATTCGCATTCCACAATGCAGCACTGGGCATCGACTGGAACATTGTCATCCTCCACAACAACCACAATCATTTGAAAGCAGCCATCGAGCATCTTCTGAAGAAACTGTTTTGTTGGTTTGCCCGGATGGAATATTGTCTTTTGAAAATTGTCATAGTTTTCTTTTCCGTACTCATAGAAGGCCAACGGTATACAATACTGCGGCGCATTCCCACCAGCCCTGTTTGCTATACGAACCAAGCATAGAGTGATATCACCACCACGATCTGAGCCTTGAACAACCACCAACTCATTCTTGTGCTTACAGAATGAAGACGATTCTTCAAGTTTGCCTGCAAGAAGGGCACTCTGAGTAAGTGATTCAACAACAGCAGCCGGCTCCTTTACCCAAACATGCAAACATCTTTCATTTCGCTTTTCGCCTCCGATCTCAAGAGAGACAAGTTCAAAACCGAGACGCAGATGAAACGATTCCAATGCATAGAGTGAAAGCTTCTTTCGTAGCATTGTAGGAAAAAGGTTCTCTCCGATGGTTGGAAGCATTGCTTTAAAGAACCTTGAAAGACGTTCCACTCCACGAGCCGTCAATGGGAGGTATTGCATCAGAGCAGCACAATGTTGGATACCCAAATAGCACTCATCATCATTCAGTACTCGGGCGGAATGATTCTTCGCTACTAACTTCAGAACTGACAACACCTCTTGTTCAGATATGTCCATGTTGGCAAGCAAGGTCTCAACCAATTTTGCCTTGCCTTTGATTCTTCTTCCGCGGTTGTCGCTCTTTGCTGTTTGTCGGCTCTCTTTAATCCGAAGAATCTTCATGCAGGAGCCTTTTCGGAACTGTCGAATGGTTATAACTTCATTGTCATTTGTTTTGGATGTCCGGTCTATATTCACTGCTCTGTTGTGAAAGAGGAAATAGAGAGCACGGCAGAGTTCTTCTTCACAGTCTCGGCTGATGAAATGCTCTTTCATCTCTGAGGCAAGCCTTGACGCCACTGCGGTTTGGGTCCCAACATTTTCTCTGTTTTCTACAGCAACAAAAACTTCTTCTGTCTGAGTTGCTGCATCCAAAAAGTGCCCACCCTCGTAGGATGATTCATCTATCTCCTCCTCAACAAGAGGCGATGCTCCAAAGTCAAGCCGTGTACGTCGCTGTTCATTGGTGTCTTGTTGACCGAAGCTGAAGAACCTAGTAGAAGTTGGTGTTTGGGGAGTCCGAGGAGACTCCAGTGCAATGTTTTCCATCCTTGATAGAAGTGTTGGTGTCGGCTTCAGATCACGCCGTTTGAATGTTCGGGCCTGGGGCGCAGCATAGTCTTCTGGGGAAAGGAAACCGTCAGGATCTGATTCGGGGATTTCTTTGGATTGTGGAGTGTCACTCTTGACTCTCTTCCTTCCCTCTTCCTCACTCCTGTCCTCCAGAAGAGAGCCTAGAATATTGTCGTCTAAGGCAAGGCCACAAACCCTGCGGATGCTTGGCTTTGTAAACCCCCAAGCTTTACTGAGCAGTGCTACTGGTGCTTCTTCCGTCTCTTTGGCTTGAACATCGTCAACACCAGGACCCGTCCCAGAGAGTCCCATGAAAATGAAGAAAATAAGCTTCCTTTCGTGGCTGCGAATTGATAGCTTGGATGCAGTATCAGCATCGACAAGCTCTCGGCGAAGCCATCCTTTGTCAAATAAATTGCATCCATCCTTCATGAATTGAAAGAGAGGGGTGTTCTTGGCTCTTCTGCAGGTGATGGTTTCTCGTAATGCCAATAAAAACTTCTCTTTCACATTTGCAGATTTACTCACTGACTCCGGCTCATTGGGAGTAATCACTGCTGATGGAGATGCTGGGGAATTGACAACTTCATTAGTGTTAGCTTGGAGGAAACGATTTCCTCGTCTTTGTCGAAGATTCATGTCAGCAACTTGTCCTTGTCCACCATGCATGGAGCTTGTACCATCATCCATCCCACGGTCCTGGGAAGACCATTGCCGGATCGTCCTCACAATGGTGGTTTCGCGACACCCATGGTTTGAACGGATATGAAAATTGTGTAGAGACTTTGGAGTGAGACCATTTGATATTTTCGAGCGAGAGTTGCTGTTCAAGCTGTGGCAGAAAATGCGATCTTCGTCCACCCTCTACCTGCGAAAGCGAAATCGAGGCCTCAAATACCGTGTTTTTAGTGGTCGGCTTAATCATTTGATTCAATGGACTAAATATAGTACATGTTTTAACACTGTTTTTCACTGCTTTTCAAGCTTCTTGATCGGAAACAAGAAGCGGAGGCTCTGATGTGAAGGAATCGAATCCGTGCGACAAAAGAGATAACAAACAGCAACAGAAGATAGAGATAACAAACAGCAACAGCGTTGGCTAGTATCACAGTGTTGGCTACTATTCCTACAAGCTAGTGGCACTTAGAGGCAATGATCTGATATAAAACAATGCTAGAATGTTATAACTACAAGCATTACTACTATTGAAAAGAGCTGCAAAATAATCAAAGACGCATGGCATTCAAGGCATTCTTTGCAGCTTGAAATTCCTCCTCAGCAATCTTGGCTTCAACAACGTGCTTTGCGCTCTTGATAGCAAGGGCAAGGAGTTTTCCATTGTCAGATGTTTTTGATTTGGGAATGATCAGGTCGATCTGTTTGATGCTATTAGGAGTTTGAGCGTCTTCATCTCTGTTGAAACACAACGTGATCCATCGGCCTTTGGTCTCGGTTCCTTTTACTTTCTCGGCACGAGCTTCCCACGTAAAGCGGCTTGTCAGGCGGATTTCAATTTGGTCAACCGTATCATTCAATACTTCAGCAACACTACCAACCGAATGCTTTGCATGCTTGGCTTTGCGGACGGACAAGTGGAATGCGTAGCTGGCGGTATTGTCAAATCGGTCGAATGAGGCCGTTCCTCTATAGTTGCGAAGCTTTCCGTCGTACGTCTCCAAACAGATTGCCACAGTTCTGTCTTCATCAGACATATTCTCAAAATCATTGACGGCGCTGAGCACGACAATTGGCTTCCAATTGCAAGCTGCATCAAAGGAGCCGGTGTGGAGTATCAGAGTACGATCATTGTCCATCTTCCTGTTGTTGACTGAAAAGCAAAGAATAAGAAATGAGATCTGTTTGGTTGTACCAATTTCTGCATCCGGAAGGCCCGCTGCGGAGACGTTTCCTTGGCAGTTTCCTCTTCTGTTAGTCGCTCCGACCAGCTTCTTCCAAAGAAGATTCTGAGACGGCAAAGAATGGAGCAACCCACAAAAAAAATTCCTTGCCAAGCAAGGAATGTGCTGTGGGATGCGTTGGGTCAGAGCAGAGCAGCAACAACGAGAGTCAGAGTCTCCTCATTGTTAGTTGCTCTAAGCTCTCTTCTAGTTTACTGTTGCTATTGAGATACTACTGAAAAAGTGGGTGGGCTCTGTATTTCTACTGTGAAATTCTAGTACAGAGGTACAGGGGTTGAATCCCTAATCGCGAATCCCCAACACACTCCTGTGGTCGTCGAGCTTGTTCTAGTCGTCGACCATGCTTACTTACTTACTGCGCTTAGCGCTCCTTCTTTGAACGGACCTTCTTGTCCGACCGTGACCCTCCTTCTGAGTGCCCTGGCTCTGAGTGTTCCACAACACCCATCAACTTGTCCACGTTCTGTTTGAACAGTCGCCTTGGTTCGGCTTCGTCCAGAAGTCCGCAACATATCATCAGTTGGACACCAGTCCACACTGTATCTCCTTCTTTGTCACTCTTCGCTCACAAAAAGTACCTAATGTTGATGTGCTTCGTTCGTTTACTACTAGAAGCTTTGCCGTTTTCTCTAGAAATGGCACATCTTGTTGTCCTGATAGACTCATTTTCTTTAACTACATAGCCTTGCTCCCGAAGAACTGCCTCGTCCAAAGAACGATGGCATCAGGTCATCAACTGCTACGAGTCACTCTCAGTTGAGCTTCTCGTGTTCAACTTCTGTTTCGTCGAATCGATAATGGGTAACCGGTGCCCATGGTCAAACCACCTCCTGTTGACCCCTCATGTTTGATGGACTCCGAAGAACCATCAACATACCATTTCAATATGCCACTTCCGTCGGCTTTGAGAACTAATGTAGTTTTCTAGTACATCTAATGTAGCATGAGGTGGACTAGTTTATCCCAATCGTGCCTATCTGGTTCCTTGACTCTAGTCGTAAGGAACGATATCGCCGTACCTGTGTCTGGTCGGGCTCTCTTCGTAGCGAATAACACTTTACCACCAGGCTGTGAAAGGTGTCGCCTTGCTCGTTGGGAGCTTTGCAGGATTCGTCTACTATGAATAGGTCTTTCGGGGCTGCACTACTTCTAGTTTTCGTGCCCCCTTCCTCTGGCGATGCCTTCTCGAAGGCTTCCAGGATTTCATCAACGTACTTGTACATTGATATGTTGCATTGACCCTTCGTGGGAAGTCTATGTCATGCCAAGATACGTGTGGACCTTTCCTCGGCTCACCGTCATCTCTCCAGTGCCGTCCTCGAATATGCTTTCGTATTCATCACGAAGCACTTGGATCAGCTGGTCGTTAACTTCGAGTCCTTGTGGCTAACTTACAGTCGTCTACATGCCACCAGACTGTTTGTTGCTTGCCGTGCACCATTCTGTTGGCTACAGGGGTCGTAAGGATTAATCTTAAATCCGTTCCGGACCATCGTCTTTCGGAACTTACGGTAGTATAGTAGGCTAGCTACCTATGGTGCCGTAGATGGCATTCAAGCATTGCAGTAGCAACTGCTTGTTGCCTTTCTTATCCGTTGTTACGAACGGTTTGTAGACATCTGGGGTATTTCACACAGCATGTCACATATCCTCTTACTCAATGATCCATATTTTTTCTCCTCGCCTTAGTCTGGATGAGGCGTCGGGATGTCAATTACTGCACATCCTTCATTCAGCTTCGATTATGCAGAAGATATGCACTGCTTCTGTCGAACTGTTCGAGCTGCGTCTTCTGGAGATGAACGTCACGCTGTGGGTCTTGCCTCCTGCAACCGGGCTCGTGATCTTCCCCTGTCCTTTTCAACTTTAGAACAGTGTGACTCTAGAAGCCTCGTCAACATCGCGAGTCTTCCATTTCATCGACGGAAGGTTTCCCTGAGATGTAACTGCGTCATCTCGGCAAAGGCTTCATCGTGCGCTTTGTCCTTTCCACCCTTGAAGTCCACCTCAATGACACACTTTCATGAATGCTGCACCACATCAGGTCTCTCACCTTTGTAGAACAGGGCATTGTCACAACACGTAGTGTATGACGTTGGGGTCTCATACTCCTTTCCACCAAAGCTTGGAAAAACGAGTCCTGCGTGTCCTCAACCACTAGAACTCGCACTCCTGCGTCTGCTCGGTCCGCTGGGTTCGAAACACCCTCTGGATACTATCCAGGGGCTGTTGGTTCGTAGTGGGTTCCGGTTCTTCTACCGTTTCGACGATAGGTTTGTGTAACCTGTTCCGTTTCGATTTTCGGTTTCAACGCGCAATTTCATCTTCGGTTCGTTGATTATCGATTCTTCGTCGTCTTTGACGTTGTCCTGGGGATCTGGTCGGGATCATTTCCATTTGTCAATGGTTTCAGCATCCGCATCCAGGTCCTCATCGGTTTGGACATTGGTAGTGGGGTCGTCACTTGCTTTCTTCCCCGTCCACTCCTGTGATCTCGACATCACCCATGGTCTATTTTTTCGATCAGTAAAAAACGAGTAGTTTAGGCTGATCTTTCCCTAATAGATTGACTCTAGCTATCACTGTGTCGGCATTGGGAATTGTCCCATGAATGCCGAGCTAATTTCCTTGCCGGAGCGGGAGGCTCATAAATTTGTAGCCTCCTTGTTCTTTCTCCGCTCGTTCCCATACAGATGCCCGCCTTTGTGCGTCCTACCAGCTGTTACGTGCGAGTCTTTTCATGCACACTGGCAGTAATCTCAAGAATGCAGGCTCAGGTGCTTTAAGTTCCCAGGACTCTACCCATCATTATCATACGGGGGCTCATTGTCACGCTGACCCCCGCCTTATTGGAAAGTACTCAAACTGTTTGAAGACTTGAACACCAAGTTGCGGTTAACTTTTTTGGCAATGTCGTAAACGGTAGGCTATGCGGACAGCTCGTGTCCTTTCTTGACTACCCGGATTCTGCGTTCGATCTCGGGTACGTGCTCGTTAGCACTGCAACGTTCCCTACCGGTACCACCCGGCATTGCCATGATTGTGTTGGACCAGCAGGCTCAAACTATTGTTTCACATGAATGGTAGTCAGATTCTAAAACGCACGGCCTGTAGAATCGATAGACCTCCTGACTGCGTCTAGGATGGTTTCTAGCTTCCTTTGGGCAGGTGTCTAGTGTGTAAATCGATTTTACGCTTAGTGTTAACAGGAACAGTAATTCCTGCCACAAAGAAAATGGTCCATCGTTAGGAACACATACTGTGTAATTGCAAAAAGTCTCCGGTACTTTCATTGCATTGTCCTGCCACTGCGTTCGTGTTCGTCGAGTGGTCTTGCTTTCAACGCATCATTATCCTTGCCCCATATGCTTGTGCCGTATCGTTGTTTCGACGGTCACAGGGCAAATTTGCGATTTGATTGCTCATAATCGCCCATCGAAATCTTTAATCGATGGATAGACGAGTTGCTTAATATAGCAGCTTCGCCCTTGATGCGGCTTTAACTTGTCGTCTTGCTGAAGCCTCCTTATTTTCGGCGACAGTATATCACAAGTGCCTTCCCTTTTTCCTAGGGTCATGAACGTGTAACTTCACTGTCATTCGTATCTTACTGTTCATTTCGTTATACTACGTCCGGTAGGCCTGTCTCTTGACTGTGTACGTTCCTTTCGGACATTCTAGACGATTTTGCAATTCTTGCGGACATTCTTCACAGATAATGATGTTCTGTGATTCCTCTTTCACAACCATACTCTCTGTTGGGCCAGCTAACTTGGCTGTGTGCTGGACCTTCAGCTTCCCTCCGGTACTCTTCATCTAGTAATTGGACGATCGGTTTTCTGATGTCGGTAACCATGTCTTTATTACAGAATAGATCAACGTGGACTGGGTGTCCAAGTAGCTGGACCTCTCTCATATCTATGTCGTCCAATCCTATTTGTGTGGGCGACTATGCCTTGCAATTAGTTGTTTCTTGTCCCGTCCGCGACAGCGGTACGCGACACGTAAGAAACTTTCGACTTCTCTTCATCTGACTGCGTGATGTCATAGTCGGCATCATTCCTGTTCTTCCTCCAGGGTTGTCCATGCTGTCTGTCATTTAATCTTGCAGTTTGCTGATAGATACTATGCTCCTTTGAACGCTACTAGAGCTTTCTTGCTCGACGTGATTGACTTGCTACGCTTGCTTCACCTACGGACTTGTCATGCGTCGTCTTTGTCTTTATCTTTCGTCTTTATCTTTGTCTTCATCTTTGTCAGGACAGTGCGTAGGCTGGATGTCCTTTATCGTGGCAGGAAAAGCATTCTTTCTTTTCCAGTATTCTTTATCATAGCTCGCGTTTTCCGCGGCCTTTTCCTCTGCCACCACCCCGTCCTCTCCCGCCTTGTGCTGTCTGAGCAAAGGAGCTTCCGTGGGAAGTGGACTGTCGTGGGGTGTTACTCTTGGTGTGTTTGTCCAAAAGGTGTAATACCTCATGTAACGTGTGGGATAGTTATCAGTGCCTTTGGCAAAGTCGTCCCTCAGGTTCTGTTTAAGCTTGGTATTTTCGGCTGAACTATTTGTTAAGAAGATATAACTATAGTACCGTTCCTCTGCGTATGCCGAGACTGTCTTCTGGTCTTCGACTCCCAGGTCAGCGTATTCTGTGTCTGGGTGGAGTAGGTTGGCCGTATGCAGCAGCGCTGCGTCGTGTAGCTTGGAAATACCCACGGATTTTGCAATGTCCCGTTTCGTGGTAAATTGCTCGTGGTATTCGGAAGCGGTAAGGCTCCCTTGGTGGAAATTCAACAGTTGTTTTTCCAGTTGGAATAATGTGTGGTACACAAAATTATCATCGGTCTGGGCATGATCGTCTTGTGGATCATTTTTCGTAGCTCCAGTGGGTCGCATCTTA